CATAATAAAACGCTTTGAAAGTTGTGAAGTTTTATATAAATGCAGTAAGTGATATTGTTACAGGAGGTACCATTGCTGGCGTGAAGAGTTTCACTTTATTTCATAAACTACTCAAGGGTATTAGTCTCCTCTGAGAAAACACTGAATATTCTCTTGATGCATCATCGTGCTAAATTTTCCTTTGCTACTTTGATTTGGGTGTAGAATCTGGTAGAAATGTCTTTCACTCCACCTTGCTCTCCTCTAGAGTTACTAACCAAATTGCATGGAGTAGCTTTTATATTATACATACACATTTTTGTTTTCAAAAACAGTATTCAAACCAAGGAGAGAAAAACTGTAGACTGGCTTTTAGGGACACTTGAATGACCCTTTAAGGTAAGTTCCTCTCTGAGCCAGCTGGGAAATGTTGATGTGTGGTTGCGACGCTTCATCAGATAGCATCTAGATTTACTCTGGAGATTTAAGTGTGGGGGATAGTGAGATGAATCAGATGCAGGCTGTTAAAGTGATTACAACAAAATGTGTGAGAAAAGTTCCTGCACAATTAACTGGAATTCAGAACACTTGGGGGAAAAAGATCTTTAGGAATTAGGGTTGAGTCAGTGTGCCGTTTGTCCTAATCTGTGCCTTCTCTCACTTGGGCTAAATATGGTTTTTATTGGGGAGGGATTGCTGGTTTATACTGGAGGATGATTATGTATTTAGGACATTGAGACCTTCTAACGATTCAGTGTCTGTCAAACAATTGTGCTTATAGTGAGGGAGATTTAATGTGTCAGCTTGATGCAAAAAAATAATTTATTGAAGGCAATAGGCATTCCATCTCCAGTTACTTGTTAGATTCTGAGGCAGCCTCTGAGAGATGCAGTGTTACCTGATCCAGGAACTTTGGTCCAAGTTAAGGAATGGGCTGGGACATCTGGAATCCAAATCTAGGACAATCAAAGCTCAGCCCTAGCCGAGACAGAATTTCTTGGATTTCATGAAACCAAACTGACCTGTCTCCTAGGGGTGGCAAGGAAAACATCAACCTAATAAATAACCATTTACTTCATCAAATTCTGTTCCACATCAGACGATCACTTAGTGGTTATTAGGCTGTCTCAAAACACCTTTGTGGTCCTGGGGGACAGGAGAGACAGTGTAAATGTACCAGCAGAGAGACATGCCATTTAAACCTTTTAATCAGTAGTAAGCTTAACCACATTCCTTTCAGTTCCAGTTTATAATTTTCCTAGACTCTCCCCTCCTGCCATTTAATTTTACTCTCTCACTGTGTAACTGTTGCAGGATATAGCTGTGCATTAATGATTGGATCTTTTTTTTTTTTTTAAGTAAAATACAGAGTGTATATAAATTAGGGCTAAGATAAATGTCTTCTAAAACTAGACTTTAAAAAGGGAAAGTCACCACCTGTAGCCCTGTGAAGGGTGTGTTTGGAACATCTGTTAAATGAGTCTAAACATTTTTTTTTTTTTAAAGGGAAATCATGCACTGAGGCTATGAGAGTAATGAATTACACTAGTAACAACAATGATTAACATATTGAGCTGGTCTTACCTGTGAACCACTACTCTGAGCACTTTATTTGTATTCTTTCACTTAGTCCTCATTCCTGTGAAGTAGGGGATATTAAGTGTTACTATTTTACACAAGAGGAAACTGAAGCACAGTGAGGTTAAGTGCCAGAAACTTGCTGCATCATACGGCGAAGAAAGTGGCCAGGGTTCAGAAGCAGCTGGCCATCTTAACCACTGTTCCAGGGACATGGTTGTACAGAGTCTACAAGCTATTCAGTAGGAAGAACTGCTAACAAAATTACTGCTCCACTCCCCCCCCCCCCACTTTTTTTTAACCAAGTGAGATTTTTCTTAAGTATCAATCAGATCCTTTTGGGTGTGTGGGAATAGGATTCAAGATGGTTGAGTTACTACAACAGGAATGAAGAACCATATAATTCACACATTGGATGTTTAAATAAATGTGTGACCAATGTTTCTTTGACTTGTTGGTTTAATGTTGTTAAATTGTATACACTGAGGCAGCTTCTCCGCTGGCTCCAAAAGGCAGCAAACTTTTTTTTTCAAAGGCAAGAATTTTTTTTTTTTTTTAGTGAATGCTAAATGCATGATTGTTTTGCACAGCTTTTGGCCACTTGGTCATGTTTCATTTGCATTGTGCAAATGCAATGAATGAATGCATTTAATGAATGCATTCATTCATTAATAGGTGTTAGAATAAGATTGAGGAGAATTTTTTTTTTTTTAATTTAAGGCTTGGCTATTGATAATATGTTTTAGGACAGGTTAAGGAAGATTCTTAGAATAAAACAGGAGATTTAACAGTATGTGAGAACACATAGGTGTTCATTGATAAGACTATCTGACTCTTGTCTCCCTCTGCCTGCCCCTGCTGCCTTTCCTTCCTCAAACCAAAGCAGACCTCATGAATGACTCAAAACAATGTGTTTGCTTAAGTTTTTCTTTCTTGGTAGAACTATGCAATGTTTTTGGGTGCCTCTGGCAGAGAGGCTGACCTGGGAAACCACAGATAGTGACTTCCAATAAAACTTGAGCAATGTATGCATGACCAATTTTGACACATTTTGGTATTCTGCCTTTCTAAGGATGAAAGCATAAAATGAGTCTCTAAATTTGTTTATGATTAACACTTGACCATTTACTTCTATTTACAAATTTACTTCTATTTACAAATGCAGTGCAGGCAAATTTCCCATGAGTCTCAGAGGCACTGTCCACCTTCCTGTTTCAGATTGGAGTGTAGAACTGTGTGTGAGTTGGGGTTCAGAGTGAGAGAAACCAATGCTGGTATCCATTCTGTAATGGGTTTCAATATATGTTAGGGGAAATCCTTTACTGAGTACCTTTTCAGTTATTTGTAGTATACTTTTCTCCTTTATTTGGTAAAATACACATAAAAATTATCATTTTAATATGCTTTTACATTTTATTTATCTATTTTGATTGAGCTGCTCGGCCTGCAGCATCCTAGTTTCCTGACCAGGGCCTGAACCTGGGTCCTTGGCAGTGAAAACATGGAGTCGCACCAGACTTCCAGGGAATTCTTTGCACTTAAAAAAAAAAAACACACACAAAAAACAGAAGTTTCACTTACCTGTGGGGGTACTCTAGAATGTTAACTGAGTTTACTTGGTTAATGGTTTTGAATACTTCAAGCTGGGCTGAGAACTGACTGTTCCTGGGACTGAAAATACTTTTGGTATGGGAGCTATTTTTGAGTTATGAATGCAATTTAATCTTGTTCAGCTGAGTTTGCACAGGAACCATTGAATGTAGGTATCTTTTCTCTACAGCTTCTGAGCACAGGTGGTTAAGGCTAAGATTGAAAACTGGCATGTTTAGTCTTTCTGGCAAAACTTGTAAGAACAGTTTTAACTCATTACTTGTCTGTATGTTAGTGTCTATTTGGAACGGACCAAGAGGAAACTGTCATGTTTCCTTGATTCTAAGTCCTAACTTCTCTCCCCTCTGATTTTAACAGTTCTGAAGTTGTCATATACACCTTGTCATATTTATTAAATGTTTACTTTATTGCATTTTCCCCATAAAATTGCTACTACAATTGCTGTTTACCTTTGCATTTAGAAGATTTGATAATTACGTATTTCACTTAAATTTTAGAGTTGATTTAAAAAAAATTTAGAGTTGATAGTAATGGTAGAAAACTAGTTTTATTTAATTAATTTTTTAATGATTTTAAATCACAAGACACTAAATCATGGAGAAATTCTTCTTTGACACCTCCTTTGATGTTAACAACCTTTGATGACTTTGGTTTTTCCATCAGCAGTTTTAAGAGAGATAGTCAGTACCTCTTGGGAAATGCCAAAGAGCAAACTGCCATTCTCCCCTCCCACGATTTCCACTCACTGGGGTCTAGTTACAGAATGTTGCCCCTTTCTGACTAACAACCTCCAGGGTATTTGAGGATTTAACCCCCCTCCCCATCCCCACCTTTAACTCTTGAAATTAGAAGCAAGTGGCAGTCTAGCTTTGTTATGAGTACGGGAAGCTTGGCTCTGAAGGTTGCTTCAGCGCTGTTGCAAGTTCTATCTAGGGATGTCATTAGGGCACTTAATGGAAGCTTTAAACAAAGACACTTTCCAGATACTGGATTCTGCCATCCTTTAAGTGTGTTCTCTAGAGGGCCTATTCATCATGGTTATGGAAGGCTGGTTGGCCGTGCAACAGCCTGCAATCATTGCACCATCTCGATCAAGAGGGCCAGAGTCCCGTGACTTAGAGGTGAGGGGAATGGCTTTAGTAGGTTCTTCAGCTTCTCATTGTATCCATCCTTAAGAACAAATCTGACAGTGTTATTAAGGTGAGTAGGGATGCTGGTAAGAAAGGAAAGAGGAAATCAGAGGCAGCAAGCCAGTCATTGTAGTTGTTTTCATTTGAGAGAGAGAACCTCAGGAAACAAATGGTAGCAATGGGTGTGAACTCTTAAGGATGGCCCAGGATTCCTCAGGAGGTCAGTTTGGGGATTGTAACCTAAAAGAAGTTTCCTTCTTTGTTTCTCAAAGAAACAATGTCTTTTAAAGGGGCAAGTTACCTGCTGAAAAAATGGAAATCGATTGCTGGTAATGAAACAGTGTGGGCAGAAGATGAGTTTGTCCCCTTTAAATTGGTTGCATAAGATTGCGAATGTATTCTAGAAGGAAATAGTAAAAATGAAAATGGTGGTGTTAGGGCAGTGGGATTTTCAGATAACTTTCATTTTTCCAAAGTCGTATGTTGCTGTTTTTCATAACAAATACCTATGGCTGATTCATGTTGACATTTGACAGAAAACAACAAAATTCCGTAAAGCAATTATCCTTTAGTAAAAAGTAAATAAATTTTTAAAAAATTAAAAGAAAGTTGTTATGTTGTGTGTCCCTGTATCTTTCAGATAACTTTTCTTATGTCCTTGATTCCACAGAGCGGAGGCTGTGTCCCACAGACAGTAGCATCATGAATATATTTGATCGGAAGATTAACTTTGATGCACTCTTTAAATTTTCCCACATGTAAGTGCTTTGACCTTGACTGTGCTTCCTTTTACGTTTCCTTTTTTATCTTTTTTCTTTTCCTTTTCCTGGTGTATTAACTTGCATGTATGAACTAACATTATGCTAGAGTCCAGAGGATCTGATAAAAGCATCCAAACTCTTAAGGGCTGCTGTGTGGTCACTGGAAAGCCAGTTAGTTATTATAGTTTGGGTACTGATTGCTAATTCGGGGCTTTGGGGCCTTCCTCAGAATTTAAGATTTTCTATTTTTTCTTTATTGTATTAAAACTTTCATATATTTCCTGAGAAGAAGGGAAATTATCCTTAGCTTAGAAAATAGATTGGTCCTAGAGTGATGGCCATTATTAACTTTCTTTCCTAGAACCCCCTCGACACAGCAGCACCTGAAGAAGGTTTATGCCAGTTTTGCCCTCTGTATGTTTGTGGCGGCTGCGGGGGCCTATGTCCATGTGGTCACCCATTTCATTCAGGTAAGAGCAGTTCTCTAGTTGCTGTGGCATAAATTGCATTAGGAAGAAACTAGCTCAGCAGAGTGGTACAATCCTGTGTCTCTCCTTAATCCTTTTCAGTATTTTGGGATCTGCACCCAGACAAGTGAAAATGAAAATCACTCAGTCATGTCCGACACTTTGTAGACTCCATGGACTAGACAGTCCATGGAATTCTCCAGGCCAGAATACTGGAGTGGGTAGCCTTTCCCTTCCGCAGGGGATCTTCCCAACCCAGGGATCGAACCCAGGTCTCCTGTATTGCAGGTGGAGTCTTTACCAGCTGAGCCACAAGGGAAGCCCAAGAATACTGGAGTGGGTGGCCTATCCCTTCTCCAGCGGATCTTCCCAGCCCAGGAATCGAACAGGGGTCTTACTAACTGAGCTATCAGGAAAGCCCAGCCAAAACCAGTCACAAATCAGGACAAGCAGAGCCATTTACTTTTTCTGGCAGTTATGTGCTCCCTAGATACTGAAAACGATGTCTTGACCCTGACACTGAAGGCTGAGCTGCTGACGTAGGAGGCCCCCACCCACTGAGTAGAGACTTGACGTGCATGCTGGGGTGACTTTGCACAGTAACCTTTTTATCTGTTCTTCCATTTTTCCTCTTTTTGCCTAAATGACTGGAGTACTTGGATACAAAACACTGATTGTATGTTTAATTTCCAGGAGAGACAGGGTTGAGACCTTTAAGGACTTGGTCCATTTTATTCTATGATACAACATTCATTTTCCTCTGTTGAGGGAGAGTTTGAGTTTGGCTAGCAGCAATAAGAGGAACAGTTGAGGAATAACCAGGAAGTTTGAGGCTCACTAACAAAGACTGGTCCCTTTTGGAGTTGTCCTTTTTAGTGTAAATATGAAGATGTACTTGTGTTGGCATTTGCCACAGCTGGGAAGTGGCATGCTCAGACACCCCTGTGCTCAGGCATCTCCTGGCAGAAGCTGTGTGAAAAATTACTTTGGACACTCAAAGATAGAGCTTTAATCCTTCGAGTTTAGACCAAAACATTGTACCTTTTAGGCTACAGTAGCCCTTTTGGTTTCTAGTCGTGTTGGTTTTTTTAAGTGAAACACAGTCATCCTCTTTATTTGTGGATTCCATATTTGTGAATTCACCTACTTGCCAAGATTCATTTGTAACTCTAAAATCAACCCTTGTGGTGCTTTTGTGGACTTTTACAGCTGTATACAGAGTGGCAAAAAATTCGAGTTGTCCACTGCACCATGTTCTAGCTGAGGTTGAACAAAGCAACACTGCCTTCTTTCAAGCTCTCATACTGTCAACAAGTGTCCTTTTCATAGTCTATTTAGTGCCACATTTTTTGCATTTTTATCATTTTTCGTGGTGATTTTGATGTTTAAAATGGCCCCAGGCATAATGTCTGGTATTGCTCAATGCGATACTGTGATGTGCCTTCTAGAGAAAATACGTGTGTTAGATAAGCTTTATTCATGCATGAATTATAGTGCCGCTAAGCACAAGTTCTGTGCAAAAGAGTCACTACTACATACCCAAGTGTCTTTAACCAAAAAACACATTCAGTAAGGTTTTGTATTTTATTTAAACCAGTTGATAAAAACGTTGACAAGATGCTCTAAAGAACTTAAACCTTTATTTCCTCCAGGAGCATTTGTTGGGTATCACTGATTCATTGCTCACAGTGACTGTGTAGAACGTAACTACTGTGAACACTGAGGATCGACTCTACCTTTAAAAGAAGGAAGGAACTTCGGTGTCTGCATACATCTTTAATGATTTTTCTCTGTCTCTATTGCCTGTTACTTTTCCCATTTGCTTTAAAAAAATTTTTTTTCTCTTAAACTAATGCATGTTCACCATAGAGAATTTAGAAAACAGATTCGTTTTAAGAAGGAAATATAAAACCCTGTAATCCCATCACCCTAAAATAATTCTTAACATATTGGTTCTTACTCTGTCTCAGTTCATTCAGGCTGCTATAACAGAATACCATAAATTGGGTGGCTTAAAAAGAAACATTTCTCACAGTTTGGTAATTCCATGATCAAAGCACTAGCAGATTTGTTGTGTGGTGAGGGCCTGCTTCCTGTGTAAACGGCCACCTTTTGTGTCCCCACATAGAAGGGGCAAAGGAGCTCTCTGGAATCTTTTATAAGATCATTAATCTCCCTTCACAAAAGCTCCACACTTACGACCTAATCACTTTCTGAAGACTCCACCTCCAAATACCATTACATTGGGGATTGGAATTTAAACATGAGTTTTGGGGGGTACACAGTCATTCAGTTCTTCTCTCTTTCTCGCTTTATGTATATTTGTGTGTGTATGTTTTAAAGGGATCAAAAAGAGGTCATTCCTACTTATTCTGCAGATTGGAATGTTCTTTAAGCACTTGTCATTTTGATTCATCTTTTCTATTTCTTGGGCAAGACTCATAATTTGACTTGGGTAGTTATAGTTGATGGACTGCCTCCAGCATCCATCATGGTCCTAACCCTGTCCCACAAGGCTTTTGGTTTTTCTCCTCTGCCTTCACTGCCTTTTCCACTGCCTCCAGGTTAGGATCAAATATTAGGAAGTTCAGGTGAATGTTTTAACCCAGTAAAGTCTCCTGCAAGATAAATTTGATACTTTCAAGTATCTAATTATTGACTCTGGATCTGACAGGCTGGCCTGCTGTCTGCCTTGGGCTCTTTGGGGTTGATGATTTGGCTGATGGCAACACCTCACAGCCATGAAACTGAGCAAAAAAGACTGGGACTTCTGGCTGGATTTGCTTTCCTTACAGGTATGTGTGGGATGGCTCTGATTTTGAAGGAGGGACACTGTATTTTAATATCTCTTTAGACCAAGGCCCGAGATACGTATGTATTCTGATGCACCCCAACTGGCATACTGTATTATTCTATCTTGTATTTGAGTGTGCCTTGTATTACTTTCTTATTTCATATAAGTTCATCTTGCTCCCCCATCCAGCGGGTAAGCTGTTTGTGGCTCGTGACTGTGATTTCTACTTTTGTATCCAAATATAAGCATTTATGTGCTTGAATGAATGAAGTTTAAGAGCTTAGGTAGCATAGCTTGTTAACAGCGGACATGGGACTAAACAGCGGCCTGAGAATCTGACTTAATTAAGGACTCAATGCTGACAACTTTCGTAGGAGCATCTGTTCTGAATCTTGCAGACAGTTCATTAAAGCCATACGTCGAGATTCATCCTACAGGGCACTTTGCTGATTCTCAAGAAAAGAAGTACAAGCACAGCTCTTCTAGAACAATCGTTAAGGAAAACAGTTCAAGCTACACAGTAAAAATACTCGCAGAGCAACATTTGAGTTAATACAACTTGTTCTGAGTGTGTCTAATCTATACAGTGTTGAAGAAATTGTACAAAGGAAGGGATTTAGAGATCAGATTTTTAGATCAGGAAAAGCTGGTTTTGAAAGTGTTAAAGAGGTGGGATGAGCAGAAGGAGAGGGCATGGCCAGAGCAGAGGAAGTGTTGGAGCTGGGACACATTTCCCTCCTGTTGGCAAGTGTCCACCTGCAGAACCAGTCTGGCCTAACCGGTCTGGCCTTTTCTGCTACACAGGCAGTCAGTCTGCATGACTACAGGTTGTTGGCCACTTTTCACCACTTTGCTCTTTATCCTTTTCTTCTATTCTGATTCCTGATCTGGCCCACATTACAGTCTCACATCACTGCTCTTCAGAGTTTTTCAGCCTTACAGTTTGGCTTGACAATGTTTGAAATGCCTGCTTCATTTTTCCTAATCTCTGTTCTTCCTGGGTTATCCATGATTTTCAGCCAAGGACTTGGTATTGCAGCTCTGTCCATAAATAGCTCAGTCAAGTATACGTTCTCTGGAAGACAGTTGAGGATGGAAGGGAGGGAGACTGAATTATCTTAGTCCACATGTTTGTTTTTTAGGACTATAGGCGTACCCATGCTATTGATTAATTCTTCAAGAATTGGTGTTTATGCTGTGTTCTGGGGCTTTTTGTTTTCTAGGAGTTGGCCTGGGCCCTGCTCTGGACTTGTGCATTGCCATCAACCCCAGGTAACTATGTTAGTAGTGTCTTAGGTCTTTCTACCTTAATGAAGATACCTTCTAAACAAAGGTTATATACCTGTAGCCCTTGATATAATGGTCTTTTCCTTTAACAGCATCCTTCCCACTGCCTTCATGGGCACAGCAATGATCTTCACCTGCTTTACCCTGAGTGCACTCTATGCCAGGCGCCGTAGCTACCTCTTTCTAGGAGGTATGTATGGGCTGGAAAACAGGAAGAGGGTTTCTGCTTTAGCCAAAATTCTCCCTGGGGCCCTTTGCTTCCCTCCAACTTGTAACTGTTGGGTTGAAAGTGAAAGCCTTTATTTTTGGGGGGAAAGTAAAGAATGGCTTTAATGAGATTGCTGAACTTTGTGTTAGCTTTTCTCAAGGTGGCTTTTTGTCTTCTGTTCCAGGTATCTTGATGTCAGCCATGAGCCTGATGCTCTTGTCTTCCCTGGGGAACCTTTTCTTCGGATCTGTTTGGCTTTTCCAGGTAAGATTTGCATATAACTTTCCAGTTCCCATTTACCTTGTGTTTCTTTCTCTTGCTTAATCCCCTAAAACCAGGATAGACTAGGAATCCTCCAAAACTCTGTCTTCATGGAGCAGTGCTCTTGAAGCCTCCCCACTCACCCTCCCTGAGTGGAGCCTTCTGCCGCAGGTCAAAGTACAGACTGAACAGGGGTTGGGCATTGCAGTGGAGATGATGGTTTGCTCAGAAGTCATTTTTCTAAAACCAGTCCAGCAGTGGCTTCTTGTTAAAATGATTGAAGCTCTTCCAGTGACCTAAAAAAAAAAAAAAAGTGCAGAATTGTGCTTGGGAAGGTAATACGGTCTTCGTTGTGGGCTTCGATTTCCATGAATGTTGATGTCTGTAGGGTTAGTGTTTGATGTACTTTGAAGTGACCAAGGACCAGAGAGAGGTATGACTGTTTTTCTCTGCAGTGTCTACCACATGGTAATGTCTCATTCTTCTTTTGCCAGGCAAACCTGTATTTGGGGCTGGTGGTCATGTGTGGCTTTGTCCTTTTTGATACTCAACTCATTATTGAAAAGGCTGAAAATGGAGATAAAGATTATATCTGGTGAGTGTGAAAATAGTCTTTAATAAGTATGGAGGAGGCGGCTGCTCTTCAACGGCTCTTTTCTGAATCTCTGGGATGATCTTTTGTCTGACTCACCTTTCTTGGCACATTGGTAGGAATAAGAGTGGACTGGGTGGCACTGGCTGACTTATGTGGCCAACCTACAAGGGTATACATGATGGAACGTCCAGGGTTTTGGAATTATGCATCAGAAAGCATTGTCTTTCTCAGTTCCTGAAAGACATCAGATTTTTAAAAGTTGGACTATTGATAGGTATTTAATTATCCTTACTTTGAATAGTGGTTACCCCTAGGCAGACGAGAGGGAGAGGAATCTTCCATGTTTTACTCTTTATACTGTTGTAGTCTTTAAACCATTAACAATGAGAAGAAGATATGTATATAATTTTTTTTTTTAATGTAATCCTCTCAGTCTCTAGGTAGTTCAGGGTTCAGACTTAAACCTCTTCAGTCTAAGTTTTCTTTTTTCTGTGCTCCATGGCTTCATGGAATTAAAGTGGGTCTCAGACAATAGAGTTTTACTTAGTTGGTGGTAGGGTGCTGGTGAGGTTGACTCTTGGGGTTGGGGTGAGGTTTTTATGTCCTGTACCTTTGTGGGCTTGTGGATAAAGACAAGTGGGACGTGCAGTTTGTAACCTGGGTCTTCTCTTTCAGGCACTGCGTTGACCTCTTCTTAGATTTCGTAACTCTCTTCAGAAAGCTCATGATGATCCTGGCTATGAATGAGAAGGTTAGCACCACCTGAAGAGGAAGGACTGGCTCCTGAGCTCAACATCCATGTGTCCTTCAAACCTGAGAACGTGCTCACACTATTTGTGGGTCCAGGGTACTTGTAAGGCAGCCGCTGAATATGAGTTAAACTAGAAGTCGTTAGCTGTTGGATAAAAAGGAACAAGTAAAGACAATTCTGTTTTTTTTTTTTTTTTTTTAGAAAATGTCTCCCCAAGATTAGTATCAGAAGGAAAAGAACTTCATTGGCAGCAAGAAACAGTTACTATATATGAAGAATTTAAAGGCTGCAAAGATAGCTTTGACTCAAAAAGACATATCCTAGAGGATTTGGATAATATTGACAGTCAGCTTTTTTTTATCTTTATTTCAGAAATAGGCCAGTTTTATCCATTTGTTGGTCTAATTTTTTTTTTTTCCCAAGAGAGGAATTGTATGTTAGTGAGGGGCAAACATTGTCCACTCTGGTAGTAGGGGAACAGCTGAAAGCACAAGCCTTTCTTTACAGAACTTAAAATGGAACAAGTGACAGTGCAGTAGTGGTAGATGCTCGTAACTGGATGGGATTTGTGGTCTTCTGTCTCGTCTGTGCCACGAATGGACTGAGCACGAAGCAGGTCTCCTAGTTTCAGTCCAAACAACTCGCCTTTCTATCATGTAATTATATACTGGGCCTCCACCCCAGTGCAATGAAGAGTTTGGCTGGACTGGATCATTTTGAATGTTGGCTTATGCCCAGGATTTACGTTTCCGTCTCAGGCCTAATGGAAAATTGGTCTTGGCCTCTCAGTTCTTTTAGGATAGACTGCCAGTCTGCAGCTTTTGGTGGTTGGGATCTGAGCTGCCAGGAGGTCAGGCAGCGCACCTAGCTTCACATGCGGTAGAAGCAGGAGCAAGTGTGTAGCCTTTATTCTTGTCAAGTCTGGCAATTTGGGGGACCGCCAGCAGAAGACTGTTAAGCTTTAGCTCCTCCTACACTAAAGTAGCTTCTCTCTTTCCGTCTTACTGTACCTAATCAAAGTCAGTCAGCTGTTGACTCACTCAAGAGTTTTAGCTTAACTGTCAACACCAGAAGTTAATTAGGTCGTTTTCCTCCATTTCTAGGATAAGAAGAAGAAGAAGTGAAGCAGCCATCCAGCCTTCCCCAGTTTGACTTCCTCTCCCTCAGCCCCTCATTTCCTCTTTGCACACATTACAGGTGGCGTGTTCTGTGATAATGAAAAGCATCAGAAAAGCTTTTGTACTTTGTGGTTTTCTCTATTTTGAATTTTTTGATCCAAAAAACTGATTAGAATATAGTTTGGAGTTTGGCTTCGTGTTCCTGGGGTTTTTCCCCGCCCCCATTTTTTGACAGCACCCATGCCCAGCCTCTTCCTCTGCTCAAGCAGCCAGCCCACCGTGATAAGGAGCGGGGTCTGCAGTAAACGCAAACTCCAAGAGTCCGCTCTCCGGCCAAGCTTCACCAAGTGGACCCAGACTGTTTGGTAAAGACACCTCGGCCCTTCCTTCCTCAGCGGTGTTTGGTTTGTGCACAGTTCCTGTGGGACTGGGCAGTGTGTTTTCCACTGGAAAGACTGCTGGTCCCATTGTTACTTGGGCTTATTGTATCTGAGCTGTCAGCCCCTACAAGGAAAACGAAAAGCCTCTGGTGGATGCTGAGCTTCCTCTGAGCTGCCCAAGTCACTGCTGGTCTGGCAAACACACCTTTCTGCCTTGCTATCACAAAAGGAATGTGGATTTGTGTGTGTTCCCTTCCCAATCCCTTATCTGATCCTCAGGGAATCTGCCTGCTTTCCATCCATGGGGTGGGAGGATTTCAGTACAAAGGGAAATTCTTGTCAGGCATTTATGAAAGGCTGATTATGGCAAGATATGGAAAATTCAAACTGTCCCAGTCTTTTTTTTTGATCACTATCTTAATTACTGAGTGGCCTCTATTAGGTGACTATGATTAAGGATCCCAGGAAAGGAAGGATAAGAAAGGGGCATGGTTGAGCCTCTAGGGTGATTGTAACTAATCCTGCCAGACAAACCCAGATAAGGACCCGCTTGAGGCAGGAGAGAGCAAAATCTCCACTAACTGCATCTTTGTTCAGACCAGGGGAACCAGCTGTGATGACTCCGGAGGCCGCGTTCAGAACAGTCCTTAGGTGCATTTTTGTCTGATCCCACCCAAGCACTAATAAGTAGTGTCAGGCCAGAGATTTGGGGCAGTCGATAAATGTCCATTTTACAGATGCACTTTTAGGTTTTGGTCTGTTCACTGGTTTCTAGAAATCTGCAGCTGCCTTTAGTCAGGGGCCAGGTGACCAAACCTCTGGTTTCCTGCAACTTTGTGTTTGCAAGTGTAGGGGACAGTACTAACGGGGGTCACCAGCTCCTCCCCGAGAGCGGCCACAGTCAGCTGGCACAGAAGGGCAGGCAACCTTGGGAGTGGTGGTGTCTCTGGCGTCCACAGAGCTTCAGCCTAAGGAGGGCTGGAGCCATCGGAAACTCATTGCTCGTAGGACACCATTTTTGGCTTTCCCTGCTCACAGCCAGTATACAGTGTGACCCAGTGGCTGCTGGCTCACAGCGTACCACATCACCGTACCCCAGGAGACAGTTGTGTTGGCAGGCCGTGTGGTTCCTGGAGTGGCATGCCACCCGGAAGAATGGCTGGCTTCTGCAGAGGATACTGCTCTCTGAGCTGCTGTGCCCAGCCTGTCACTTGAGAATTTACCAGAAGGGATTTCCTTCCTATCAACCCCCCACTAGCAACTCTCCATAAATTTGTTGATTCTCTGCTAGGCCTGAGAATCTGTTACATCTCCTGAAGCCAAACTCCACCTCTTGTGTTTTTTTGCTTGGGATTAAAGGAGTTTTTCTTTAGAAACAGTGCCAAGAATGACAAGATATAAAAAACTACTTTTAAAGAAAATGCCTAACAGGTTTTTAATACAGTAATCACTGTAGTTATCACTTTCTTTTCTAGTTCCTTGGTTTTCAGCTCAGGCTGCATTCTCTAACTCATACTGTGAAGACAAAGGTGTTTTTGATTCAGAAATATATGAAATCTACATAGTCTTAATTTGTAAAAAATAAAGAAAATTCCTTAACCTTTTCTGGTGTGTGTGTGTGGAATTCAAGGCTACAGCTGAGTTTGAGGTGCTGTTGACTTCTTGTTCTTAGGGCTGGGAGTGGGACAGGATTAAGTTTCTGCTCTAGGTATCAATTAAAAAAAAGAGACCCCCACTTAGGCCTCTCATTCTTATAGACCCGGCTTGCCACAAATGTTGGGAATATTCTCTGTTCTATACACAGCCCAGGCCTTTTTCTTGTCCTCTTCCACCCAGCCTTTATTGTAGGGAGTTATGGCAACAGCATGTATAGCTGGTTCCAGTATACAGCCAAGCTTTGAAGTTTGAGAATGCATACTGGAAAAGGGGTTTCCATGGTGGCTCAGACGGTAAAGAATCCACCTGCAATGCGGGAGACCTGGATTCGATCCCTGGGTTGGGAAGATCCCCTGGAGGAGGGCATGACAACCCACTCCAGTGTTCTTGCCTGGAGAATCCCCATGGACAGAGGAGCCTGGCGGACTGCAGTCCATGGTGTTCCAGAGTCAGACACAGCTAAGCATAGCACAGCAGGTAATGGAAAAAGCGTCACAACCCACTCATTATGCAAGTATTCATGGTCACCCACTGGGCCAGGCTGTGTTCTTGATGCTAGAAATCAGTGAAAATATAAAAATCCTTGTCTTCATAGTGTTCATGTATGCCATTAAAAGCCAAAATATGCATTCCAGTCGCTCCATTTTGGCTCGCTCGCCCTCTGCTCGTCACCCTCTTTGGAAAAAGCTTCCTCTCTGACTCCAGGCTGAGGCTCCAGCTGAGGTGGAGCAGGAAATGGGAGGGGCTTCAAGGGATAGTTCCCCACCCCCAATCTTTGTAACCAGAGCAGGGCAGTGAGTGCCCTTTTATTTTAGCCTCCCAACCTGCCCACCAGTCACAAGTTAAAACTTTAAGAGGTGACACAGCTACTCATTCCGGGCCTAGCAGGCCTGCAGACTGAATTAGAGTGGGGAAAGTCTTGGTGGACATCAGAAGTGGAAAGATGTCTGTTGGGACAGGAGACAGTCTCCTGACCAGGCAGGGAATCAGACGGGGTGTCCACTTGGCACCAGGTAACAGGCTCCATGCTGGGGGTAAAGATGGATAAGGCACTTAACTGCTATTCAGTCACCACAGTGGAGCAGTGCAGGAAGCCACATGCAGACATGAAGTTCTTATGTGGAAATGCAGGGCCATGGGACAAGAGAGAGCCCTGTGCCCTGATTCAGGGGAAAGTGTGTAGGAGATGATATGTGAGCAAAGGTGAGATCTCAAAGATCGAGTCAGAGGTTAAGATGGGCAGTACTGGGAATGGGCCTTTTCAGGTCAAGAGATTAGTATGAGAAAATGCACAGGAGTATGATTCAGCATGGGGTGCACTGGGAGCTGCAATGGCTGGGTTGTACATTTTGAGAGGACCAGGAGGACATGAGGAGGAAGTGAACTAACTTAGGGCCTGCCTTTGGGTGCTAAGGGTCTGGCGCTGTCCTGAGGGCAGCAGAAAGCACTGAAGAGCTTTGAGGGAGGAGTGGTTGGAATTTTTTTTTCATTTATTTTGATTAATTGGAGGCTAATTACTTTAAAATATTGTAGTGGTTTTTGCGTATTTCAGGTGGCTACAGAGTAGAATGGGGAAGAGGCTAGTTGAAAGGCAATTATTACACTAACGCCCAGATGTGGTCTCTCTCACGTGTCAGTAAAAGGAAGCAGAGCTCCTTGGAAAGATGGTGTTTAGAGGTCAGCCCAGGAAATGTACAAAATCAACCTGGAACATAATGTTATGCCAGAAAGCAAAGGAACTATCAAGGATGACTACTGCAGTATCATTCAGAAGGACTCAGGGGCTAAAGAGCCTTCTCCTGGCCAAAGATGGGATAATTTGAGCATCAATAAGAATTATAAGAGCAAAGGGTTGAAATCAAATTTTTTAAACCCATAAGTTCATGATGATATTTTAAAATATTGGTCACTTTTGGTGGATGCTAGCTGCTGCTGCTAAGTGCTTAGTCATGTCCGACTCTGCAGTCCCATGGACTATAGCCCGCCAGTCTCCTCTATCCTTTCTTTTCTGTATAAACTGTACTTAAGGGTAATCAAAAATAAGCTCAACTTTCTCTCTATAGAAGTATTCCAGCTAATAGATGAAGAAATTAGAGGATTGATGGTTTAGCCGCTAAGTCGTGTCCAACTCTTGTGACTGCATGGGCTGTGGTCTGCCAGGCTCCTCTCTCCATGGGATTTCCCAGGCAAGAATACTGGAGTGGGTTGCCATTTCTTTCTCTAGGGGATCTTCCCCACCAAATGATTGAACCCAGGTCTCCTACACTGCAAGCACATTCTTTACTGACTGAGCAACCAGGGAAACTCCCAGAGGATTAGAATGACTGTTTTGTAAACCTCTGATGAAATAATGAAGCTGGGTGATGCCAATCAATAGCTATCAACATCATATTAAGAGACAAACTGACAAGCCTCCTGATGAAAGTAAGCAACACGATCAATAAAGTTTAATTGCAAAAAAAAAAAATTCAATCTTAGGCATATTAGGTTCTACATCTACATACCAGTTTATAGGAAAGACAAGCGTAGGAGGACTATGTAAATGACATCATGGGGAGGTGGGCAGCAAAATCTAGTAAAACTCTAAGGACAAACAACCTGGTTTCTTTAAACAACAAAAAGATGAAGAAGCAAGAACAAAAAAGGAGGAGGGAAAGAAAGAAACCTAGAGGTTAAGAGTTATGAGTCAGGAAAGGGGTGGGGAGAGAGGTGAGGGGAGGGGTCACATGTATGCCTATGGCTGATTCACGCTGATGTATGACAAAAACCATCACAATATTATCATTATCCTCCAATTAAAGAAAAGGAGTTTGAGCCCTACCAAGAAAATGCAGTGATGTAAAACTGAATTAGATCCTAATTCAAATAAACCAATTGTAAATGAGAGACACGTGGGGCAACTTCAACCTGTGGTAACCATTCTCCAGGATGCCTCCCTCCTCCTAAAAAATTCCTGGCCTGGTATTCACA